TGTGTAAAGATGCTATCTTCAGCATTGTCAGACCTTTCCCAAAATCCAATTCAAGCATTAAAAAATATTTTTTTTACTAATTTTTGACACAAATTAGCAAAATGATAGTTAACACTCTTATCTAAAAGGTAAATGTTATTGCACTCTATTTCAATTACACTTAAGACCATTTCTTCATCATAACTTCTACAGAACTGATAAGCTAACAGCTAGGCTGAGTGCAGCCAAGAATAAACGTTGTTGATTCCATCTTAAAGACCAAGTTCACTTCTTTTTTCAACACATTTTCTAGTATAAATAAATGCCTTGTGAGACGATCTCTGTAGAAAAAAGCTCTAGCACTCCTGTTTCAGGAAGTACACGTCAGCTAGTGGAGTCGAGAACCGTGGATGGCAGGATTTGGAGTTTTATTTCCTGATATTCAAACATCTCGACATTGACTGGCGAACAGCAACGCAACTCTACTACTTGCTCTTTTTGCTTTGCAACGTCGAGGTTTTATCTGCAAAAATAACAAGCCTGAAGGCATTTTGCCATGTTGTGGTAAATGCTAATGGTAACAGTTAGCTTCTACTAGCCAAGAAATGCTCTGCTCTTTCCTGGTTGCTAAATTAACAACAACCTTCCCTGTCGTGGGCCAATAAGGGTGAGTACACGTATGCTCATTTTTAATTTGATGTGGAATTGTCTGGCTTTTCTAATCCAAGTGTTTCCCCGTCTATTTTCTATCGGCAGCTAATGCAGGACATAGTGGTAGAAGACATGAATACTTACTTCTGAGGGCTCCAGTTGACAGTTGAAAAAGCCAAAACACCAAAAGCTGAGTGTTAAAATAGCGTTAACACATCAATTATTTAAAGCTGGGAAGTTTTACTGTCACACGTTATGATTATGTATGTATTAATGTATCAAAAGATTATCCCAAAAATTTCAAAAGTGGATTTTCATCAAGTTTATTTCTTTTATCTTATTTGCCTCTTTTCATTTTTTCATCCCAGACTTTATGAATGAACAATGAAAATATAAAAAAAGTTAAAATGGGGAAAAATGAATAAACACATCTTAGGTGTGTTCTTGCTGTGTCTTTGTAAATCCATGCTTTCGTTCTTTTTTAAACACAGAAACAGTTTTGTTTACCTGTTTGTAGCTACGGTTTCGCCGACAGCTGCCGGCTTCTTCAGGCTGACGCTGATGGTGGCGCGTCACTTCCTTCTCCGTTTATCTGCGGGCAGCAGAGGACGTTGTCGCCCTCTACTGCCCGCTCTCCCCTCTCCGACGATGCAGTCCCATGCGTGGTCCAGCGTGTAAACTCCGTCGTCCCTGTTCATGGTCCCACATCCACGTCTCCTTATCTCGATTGCTTCCTTGATCCATCTTTTGTATTTTTGTTGTTCGGTGGTTATGATCCGTGTGTTGTCCCAGTCCATTTTATGGTTTTCTCTTAAGCAATGTTCTGTTACGGCTGACTTCTTTATTGTACTTTCTGCTTCTTCTTTTGCTGCTCTTGTGTGTTTACGATTTGCCTCTTTCTCGCACTCCGTTCTGTGTTCTATTGTTCGTGTATTGAGTTGGCGTCCGGTTTCTCCTATGTATGTTTTATTGCATATTTTGCATGGGATTTCGTAGATGACTCCACATTTTTGTCCAGCTGATATTTTGTCTTTTGGGTGTACTAATCTGTTTCTAACTGTTGTGTATGGCTTTGTTGGTGTGTTTATGTTGTGTTTTTTCATTGTTGCTCTTATTTTTTCCGTTATGCCTCTGATGTATGGTAGGGTTATCACTGGTTTTGGTTCTTGTCTTTCTGGGTTTCTGGTTCTTTTTTTGGGTTGTTCTTTGCTTTCTGTTTTTGTTTGTTGTTTTCCTTTGTTTATTGCCCATGTCGGGTATCTGCAGGTCTTTAAAGTGTGTTGTATGTGTTTGTCCTCTTGTTTACGGTCTCTCTCTTCTGTTATTATGTTTGCTCGGTGATATAATGTTCTGATTACTGACATTTTGTGTATGGTGGGGTGTTCTGATGTCCATAATAAATATTGGTCTGTGTGTGTTGGTTTCCTGTATGTGTTTATGTTTAGGGTCCCGTCGGTCTGCCTGGTGATTTTCATGTCCATAAATGCTATGCTGCCTTCTGTTTCTAACTCATAAGTGAATTTTATGTTGCCCGTGTCGTCAATATTGTTTAAGTGTTGTGTTAGTGTTTCTGTTTGACCTTTTGGTATGATTTCCAGTATGTCGTCTACGTAGCGTTTCCATAGTTTTATTTTGCAGTTTGGGGGGGCGGTGGCTATGGCTTTTTGCTCTAGGTCTTCCATGAAAAACTCGCACAGTGTGGCTGATAACGGGTTACCCATGGTGAAGCCTTCCAGTTGTTTTTATATTGTGTTGTCGTATGTGAAGTAAGTGGAGTTAGCTACCAGTCCTATCAGTTGTGCTATGTCATCTGCTGTGAGGTTTGTCCTTTTATGTAAAGTTTTGTCTTGTCTGATTCTGTTAACTACTATGTCTATGGTTTTTTGGGTTGGTGTTTTTGTGAACAGAGATGTGACGTCATGTGAGATGAGTATGTCGTTGTCTTCTATTGTAATTTCCTTTAGTTCTTTTGCCAATTCTATACTATTTTTGCAGTGTTGGTCTGTATTTCCTAATAACGGGCTGATGATTCTGCTGATATCTTTTGCCATGACAACACAATATACAAACAACTGGAAGGCTTCGCCATGGGTAACCCGTTATCAGCCACACTGTGCGAGTTTTTCATGGAAGACCTAGAGCAAAAAGCCATAGCCACCGCCCCCCCAAACTGCAAAATAAAACTATGGAAACGCTACGTAGACGACATACTGGAAATCATACCAAAAGGTCAAACAGAAACACTAACACAACACTTAAACAATATTGACGACACGGGCAACATAAAATTCACTTATGAGTTAGAAACAGAAGGCAGCATAGCATTTATGGACATGAAAATCACCAGGCAGACCGACGGGACCCTAAACATAAACACATACAGGAAACCAACACACACAGACCAATATTTATTATGGACATCAGAACACCCCACCATACACAAAATGTCAGTAATCAGAACATTATATCACCGAGCAAACATAATAACAGAAGAGAGAGACCGTAAACAAGAGGACAAACACATACAACACGCTTTAAAGACCTGCAGATACCCGACATGGGCAATAAACAAAGGAAAACAACAAACAAAAACAGAAAGCAAAGAACAACCCAAAAAAAGAACCAGAAACCCAGAAAGACAAGAACCAAAACCAGTGATAACCCTACCATACATCAGAGGCATAACGGAAAAAATAAGAGCAACAATGAAAAAACACAACATAAACACACCAACAAAGCCATACACAACAGTTAGAAACAGATTAGTACACCCAAAAGACAAAATATCAGCTGGACAAAAATGTGGAGTCATCTACGAAATCCCATGCAAAATATGCAATAAAACATACATAGGAGAAACCGGACGCCAACTCAATACACGGACAATAGAACACAGAAAGGAGTGCGAGAAAGAGGCAAATCGTAAACACACAAGAGCAGCAAAAGAAGAAGCAGAAAGTACAATAAAAAAGTCAGCCGTAACAGAACATTGCTTAAGAGAAAACCATATAATGGACTGGGACAGCACACGGATCATAACCACTGAACAACAAAAATACAAAAGATGGATCAAGGAAGCAATAGAGATAAGGAGACGTGGATGTGGGACCATGAACAGGGACGACGGAGTTTACACGCTGGACCACGCATGGGACTGCATCGTCGGAGAGGGGAGAGCGGGCAGTAGAGGGCGACAACGTCCTCTGCTGCCCGCAGATAAACGGAGAAGGAAGTGACACGCCACCATCAGCGTCAGCCTGAAGAAGCCGGCAGCTGTCGGCGAAACCGTAGCTACAAACAGGTAAACAAAACTGTTTCTGTGTTTAAAAAAAGAACGAAAGCATGAATAAACACATCCCTTAAAAATAAACAATCTATCAAATGTATGCCTCGTTTTCTGGTGCTGTATGATGTGGTTTTCTCTGACATCCTTTATCCAAATCACCAAAGCAAGACCTCTGGTGGAAGGAGGGGAGAAAAGAAACTACAATACAATGTTTCTGTAGAACGTTTAGGACAATATTTATCATTGCTTTGGATTGTTGCAATAAGAAACATACATTTTCTTAACCCTCCCACTGTCCTAATGGGTGTGACCCCGCGAGGAAATTTGACCATTGAGCAAGGTTGATGGTTTACCCCTTGGGTCCATGTGGCAGGGGTGAGGAGTGGGCGCCACCTCACCCCTGCCACGTGGACCTCAAGGGATAAACCATCAACCCTGCTCAATGGTCAGCTTTCCTCGCGGGGTCCCCCATAAAGACAGTGCGAGGGATAAAGGAAGTATAGTTTTCTGCTCATAAAGCTTATAAGTGCAAAAGTGAGGTCATCTTTTAATGTGCAATGTCTATGTGATTAATCACGATTAATCCTGAGTTAACTATGAAACTCATAAGATTAATCAAGATAAAAAAATCTTGTCGAATGACAGGCCAAGTTTTTACATGTCTGAACAAAAGAACCTGACAGTAATTATCTTAAAAAAAGGAAGACATGATAAACCCTAATCAAAGACATTATGCACCTTTTTTGTTGTTTTAGGAGATTCCTTTGGAAATGCTAAAAAAAAGTGTAAGTTTTTGTCCCCAAATGACCTGTAAATGGGACTTTAATTTACTCGCTTCAGCCTGAACTCAAGGGTTCTTGGAGGTCTGCAGGTGGATTTCTAATTGCCGTATCGTCCCCAATTGTTCTGTGAGAGCTGAAATTCCCACACGAAGGTGAATCAGGTCTAGTTCTGTTAACAAGAAGCTTGAGGTGGTTTTCGCTCAATCTCAGACAATAAAGCTGCAGAGGAGAAAGCCACGAGGTAATTGATGGCGGTAAAGTGACCTTAATTGTTTGTTGATGGATGTAGGGAGGACACTTACAGAGGCAGACACTTGAGATAAGGCCTCGCATTCCTTCAGTCGGCCCGCCACTGCGTCCACCCCAGGCAACTGCGCTGCTCCAGACGACACGGACAAATGAGGATAACAACGGGGAGTGAAACAAAAACATACAGGCATGCAACAAAAAGAAAAAAAATACTTTGATTTGAAACTTACAGGTGATGTCAGGTACCGCTTGTTCAGATATGTGAGATCTGTGCTCTTCCTCAGATCGGCTGTTTGATAAGGTGTCCCCCTGCAACCTGGAGACACCACAAAACACAAAACTTCACATACCAGTTGAGAGGAAAAACACAAAGACATCCGTGTCCGTCTAAGGTGACGATGCAAGAAAGAAAAGTTTACCAAGTTCCTAATCTCCTCTAATAAACGTGAGATGGTGAAAAATGACGGCTGTGGTTAATTTGAGGGTATCGTTTCATCAAAGCTTGTCACCTTGATTAAAACAAATCTGAAACCGGGATTTCTTTAGTACAGGGGTGTCCAAACCTCATCCCGAAGATCCCCTATCCAGCATGTTTATGTTGCTTCTCTGCACACACTTGATTCAGTGGTGGAATTACCTGTTCAGAAGGTTATGGAACTCTGCAGAAGCCTGTTAATGGCCTACTGATTAAAATCAGGTGTGTTGAAGCAGATGATCACCATGCTGGATGGGGGCTCCGAGGACAGCAGTGCTCCAACATAAACTCATACACAAAAACCAGCAGCTTTCCTAAAGAAATAAAAGAAAAGACAGCCATTCTGTTTCTCTTTAAGACGTTTTCTGGCTGTACTTTATCATTATGTTTTCCAAACTCCTATAATTTAGGATTAAAAAACAGAAACAGGTTTGTGGGATTTGCCTGTCTTTATGGCAATTGAAAACTTAAGATGGCAAAGGAAACCGTGTGTTAAAAACAAAGTAATGTTGCACGTGGCTTTTAGTTATGTTTGTACTCTTGTACTGAAAAGTATGACAATAAAAAGTAAATCATCAAAGAAATTAGCTTTAGATGTAGTCTGGCTGCATGCCCCTCCCATGCCATCGGTACAATCCCTTAACTTTTATAGCAGCAGCATTCTCCGTCGTTGGGTCTCCTGGTTTCTCTCTCTGTAATTTCTGCTTAAAAAAAACTTTTTCAAGTTTATTTTATTTCTTTTTCCTGTTTTAAACATCCATCCCCTTGTCTTTCTTTTTAAATGGCCTTTAAAAGGTCATTAAATATACCCAAGATGACTATCACAAGTCCTTCTCAGTCTAGGAACAAAAGCAGCTCGTAGCCCCGGGTCTCGACTAGCATCCCCTCGGTGCATTCCTGATATGAAAGCAGTTAATTTAATGAGAGCTACGAGCCCAAAAAGGAGGCTAGTGTAGGAACGGCTCCTGATCTGTGATGTGTCTGCACACAGAGCATGCCATTTAAATGAACTGTTTGGGTGCATTAAAGAGAGTGGATGTGACCACAATACAGAGGCACAGCCACAACAGGCCTCAGAGCGCTGCACGCTCGACCTAACCAGCACAGAGCAGCGCTGCGCTGCAACAAGAGGTTCAGACTCGAAGGCAGTCTGATGGCGTGAATGATGGCGCTGTATTTCAACAAATAACACACAAAAATCACTGGGCTGTAAGTAGAACAGAAAATGTAATGTGTTTGTCTAAGGGGTGATGGTATGTGAGGAATGCTGGTCAAACAAACTCGAGTCAGTTCCACAAAGAGCCAAGTGACCCTCTACTGCCTTTGTATGTGATTTAAACTAGATTTATATACTGATGAAAAGACATAAATTAAATTCCTGTCTAATATAAACTAGCAAAGTCAGTAGAGAAACACAATTTTGATTATAAACATCTGAGCCAGTCAGATCAGAGCAGAGAGGCAGTGAGAATACAGTGGGATGCAAAAGTTAATGATTTCCCTCTATAGATCATTGGTTGTTATGGTAGAGATTTCAGTTAAAGAGGAACTAGGCAGTTTTGGCTTGCTTTTAGCACCCCCTAGTGTTTGTTTAGTAGAACCAAAAGTAAAACTTATCACCTCGCTGTGCGTTAGTCCTTTTACCACCTTTGTCTAACAGCTGAAATGTCTCCCAGCCTTCCTTAGGGCCTACAGGAGTGATTCATCGCTAAATTAAACAAATCAGCTGGGTTCATGATCTAAAACATGCAGAGAACGTGCTGCAACCAGACTGCAGTGCCAGGTATGTCGGCTCCATTTCTTCCCAACAGAGCGGCCCGCCAGGCTGAAGTTGCAAATGGAATATTCTGGCTGCAGGGGTTGAAAGAGGCTGGGTGGCCTTTCAGCTTCCAATGAGAGTCTGGATTCTGGTTGAAGGTGTTTTGGACCATTCTTCTTCAACATCTCCAGTTCATTCAGCTTTGATGGCTTCCGAGCATGGACAGCTCTCTTTAAGTCACACCACAGATTTTCAATAACAATCAGGTCTGGGGACTGAGATGGCCATTCCAGAATGTTCTACACTTTCCTCCGCACGAATGCTTTTGTAGATTCTGAGCAGTGTTTAGGGTCGTTGTCTTGTTGAAGGATCCCGCCCCGGTGCTGCTTGAGCTTTGTCACTGATTCCTGGACATTGGTCTCCAGAATCAGCTGATATTGAGTGGAATCCATGCGTCCTTCAACTTTAACAAGATTCCCAGTCCCTGCACTGGCCTCACAGCCCACAGCATGATGGAGCCACCACCATGTTTTACTGTAAGTAGCAGGCGTTTTTCTTGGAATGCTGTGTTCGCGTTCCACCATGCATAACGCCACTTGTTACGCCCAAATAACTCAGTTTTAGTTTCATCAGTCCACAGCAAATTATTCCAAATTGAAGCTGGCATGTCCAAATGTGCTTTAGCATACCTCAAGCAGCTCGGTTTGTGCTGTGGGTGGAGAAAAGGCTTCCTCTGCACCAATCTCACATACAGCATCTCCTTGTGTAAAGTGTACCTGATAGTTGAATGATGCACAGTGACTCCATCTGTTGCTGGAAGATGTTGTAGGTCTTTGGTGCTGGTCTGTGGGTTGTGTAATGAATCAAAAGGGTCAATTTTCACCATCGAATTGACGCAGTAACCTTTCATCCACGCCAGAGCTGCAAAGTCAAGGTTACACCAGCTGGAGGATTCAGATGCACAAATCAACCTTTTGCTCACTCATTGTTCTTCAACGCGGACATGAATAAACTGTCAAGGTCTCCCGCAAAAGCCTTTTCTCTCTGCCCCAGACTGCTGGATTCCTCACTCCGAATAAAAGTGAATCTACATGAATCCTACAAGGCTTTACAGCTTACAAGTTAATTAATCATTTGGTTGAATGAACAAGATGTTTAAAAGAAATGTTTGAATAATCTGTGCTTAAATCAATGAAGTTGAAATGAATATTGTTCTTACAATGATCCATTGCAGATCTTATGATCAGTATGTGTTTGATTTAACAAGTTAATCATTATCTACACTCATACACATCTTCATAAAAAACAAATTAAGGTTAAGGTTCACCTCATAAAGTTTAAAGATTCTTATTCACAGTGTTAAGAATCTTGTATCTGAAGGAAGGCGTGGCTTTCTGAGGAATGTTTTGGTAAAGTCTTCCAGAAATGGAACATTCTGATTTGCCAGAATGGCTGGAAATCATAACAAAGTAGTTTAATAAAACAAGAATTACTTCCCGAGTAATTCAGTCAAAGTGTCATGATCAGAACTCAGAAGACCCGTAATGACGCCAAACACAGTTAAATTATATAAAAAAAAAGTATTTTATTTTTGGTGGAGTTACCAGATGGGTGAGGCTGGAGACAGAGTCGGAGACAGGCGAAGGTCAAAATGGCAGGCAGAGTACAAGGCAGGGGTCAGGAGAAAAATGAGGTCCGGAGGCAGAGATCAGGCAGGGTGGATGGCTGGAGAATTTACTGGCACAAAGTTTTCAATAATCTGGCAGAGACTGGATAGCAGGATGGTTCTGTTATAGCAGGGGAAGCAGGTGTGTGAGATGTGCCGAGGAGTCAGGAGCAGGTGAAGTGGATGAAGCTGATGACAGGAACAGGTGAGAAGAATGGAGTTGATTGTGGTTGCCAGGGAAACAGGGCTTGTCAGGGAGCTAGGTGAAGGGACCAGGTGAGCTGAATGAAGAGGCAGAGGAGGGTGAAGGATAGGAAGTCATGACACAAAGTTCCAAACCGGCCAATTTGGAACGAGCATCCTTGAGACATCTCTTTTGACATACAGTCAAAACCTTGTTTGCACGCTGCAAGCTGACACAGCCAGACGGCTCCCTAAGAGCCACATCCACTTTGGATGCAAACAAGCATTCCAGCTACTGTTGTGACCTGGAGACATCTCAAGACTGGACAGGTCATGTCGGAGCTAATCTACGAAATCCCAGTGCCGTGAGGTCCACTCGACTTCTGACAGTCCGGATCTGCTGGGGGTCTCCGCCAGGGTTTGTACACACAACAGATTGCGTCTGATGCTGTTTTATTAATAATCAACTCTCTAGTTATAGCAGACAACAAATTCTTTTACACCCAGATTTCACAATTTCTTTCAGAAACAAAGATTCTGATAAACATGTAGCTTACATCACACCACCTACACATCACATTCCATCACCGCATATCCACTCCATCACATCTCATTATTCGTATCTTGTCATAATCATTAGTTTAGAAAAGAATAAAATTCCTTTTTAACTATATACCTGACTGTTTGAATTAATACGAAGTGTGTTTATGGTCCCTGAACAAGTAAAAGTAACTAATCTTCTGATTAAACATTCAAAGATCAATCAGATTGCTATTTCATATTTATATGGAATCATCACATCTTATTGGTCATAATTAATTTGCAGTCGTCACACTATAAAGTGTGACCGCTACAGTTGACTCTGATTGTTCGCACCATTCTTCACTTCTGTTTGCGCTTGGTCTGCCACTTAGAGCCTTAACTTCAACTGCGCCTGTGATCACCGTTTCCTCAGTATGTTCCTAACTGTGGCAAACGACAGCTGAAATCTCTGAGACAGCTTTCTGTATCCTTCCCCTAAACCAAGATGGTGAACAATCTTTGTTTTCAGGTCATGTGAGAGTTGTTTTGAGACCACTTCAGAGAATATTCAAAGAGGAGGGAAACTTACAATTGGCCCCCTTAAATACTCTTTCTCATAGTTGGATTCACCTGTGTATGGAGGTCAAGGGCCACTGAGCTTACCAAACCAATTTTCAGTTCCAGTAATTAGTTTGAAAGGTTTTGGAATCAATAAAATGACAACAGTTCCCAAATGTATGCACCTGCCTAGTTTTGTTTAGACAATTATTGTGCATTTTCTGTAAAATATTTAACAGAAATTGTAATAACTAATGGTTTATACAGGAAAATCATGAAGATTAATAAGTCTGCCCAAACTTCTGCATCCTTAACTCCCTTAATGGCAACACAAATGAAAGTTAAAGTCCCATTAGTTGTCACACACACAGGTGTGTATGCGAAATTTATTCTCCGCATTTGACCCATCCCCTGGGGGAGCGGTGAGCTGCAGACACAGCCGCGTTCGGGAACCATTTGGTGATTTAACCCCCAATCCAACCCCTTAATGCTGAGTGTCAAGCAGGGAGGCATTGGGTCCCATTTTTTCAAAGTCTTTGGTATGACCCGACCAGAAGTCGAACCCCTGATCTCCCAGTTTCAGGGCGGACACTCTACCACTAGGCCACTGAAAGATCTAGAGGTCAGGTTTTAGAGTGGGAACATTTCAATTACGGGGGGGAAGCACCACAAAATCCAACAAATCCTGACACTGATGTAAACACGTAACAAGGGTATAAACATCAAGTAAATAAACTGTCCTAAAATCCTGGGACACAATTCATCCCTCATCAGCATCCCGCAGCCTGTGTGTGGAGCAGGACTGATAAGATGCAGGAATGTAAGAAGAAACAAATCCCAAACAGTAAAGGCTGAAGAGCCAGAGGTGAGCCTGGCGTCTCAGGAAGAAACACACTTATCTCCGACTGGCATCACAAAAGAACGTTGTCCACACCTGCCTGACCAAATCCAGCTCGATGCTGGATGATGCTGGATTATGGAGCGCTGCTCAAGGAAAAAACAGTGATAAACGCGATGATAAGATATGATTACTTAAGCAAAAGTCATGGGAAAAAATGTGGAATGGATTTAGGACATGGCATGTACTACTTCCATTAGTAAAAGAACGGTTTTGGTTTTGTAGAGAGGTTCTCTGAGTTTTTGTGGGTAGTCAGTTTCTTACCTGCAGCAGAGGGCTGTCAGGACATTCTTACCCAGGCTTTCCTCTGGTTGTGTAAGCGGCAGATAATGTAAAAGGGGCGTTTTACCCACAAGCTTTCCACCGATAGTGTTTCAGACACAAATGGGCATTAAATGGTGGTCCTGCAAGGTCACGAAATTACCAGAGAACTGCAAGGTCACATGTGATTTTGGCAGTTTATGCAATAACAAGTAAGGAAAAGGATGGCAACATGTATCCAGAAGGTCTGTGATTTACTTTCTGTTCTTTTTACCTTGATCACAGAGGGTTCACGTGTAATAAGGTATTTTTAAGCAACTGGAAGTCTGCACATGGTGGAAACACACCCACTGACCATAACGGAGACTATTACACTTCATGGACGTCACCCACTGGTCGTGCATCCAGTGGAAATCCGGGGTTGACAATTAAGGAGAAACTTTCAAAAAGGAATTAAGCTAGTGGCTAATAAGAACAAGGCCAATGCAATTATTGTCAATTAATTGGGATGTAAGTTATTTCGTGTTTATATTTGATGTTAGTGTAATGCCCTTATTTTTCTTGGAGTGACTCGCAGCAGTTAAATATTACATTTTTATCTTTAAAATGTATTGCTATTATTTCTGAAGTTTGATTTGTTATTATATAGTTTTGTGATCAATTAACTCTGCCATCTTATTCTTTATTGGTTTAGTTGAATGAGGACCTGCTTGAAAAACGAGATGTTACATCTCAAGCAGTTTATCCTCCTGAAAAAAACACAAGTTAAATAAAAAAAATACATGTAACATGTTTAGCTGTTACAATCAACTTGAATTTAAAGTTTTAACAGAATGTTGCATTTTATTCACAACCAACTTCAGCATCCTGCTAATCCTCATTTATATATAGATAGTAAAACTACATAAGTACAATCTGAGATTAGCTGATACCCAGATTATCCTGACTGCTGTCTGTTGCAAGAAGGCCATGGACTAGCGATAGCTGCTCCACAAAACACCAACAAAGACAAAAAAGAGATCATTTTAATGCTACAGTCAGTGTTGGCATGTTGGCAGAGCTGCAGCCTGCCAGATAAGAGAAGGCGGAAAACATTTACCTGGCACACCTCGAGCAGATGTTGAGAGTAACTTTGGCCTGGGGCTCAGGCTGGTAGGAGCTGCGTCCCTGGCTGAACTTGCTGCCGGACGGAGCCAGCCTCGTCACACCCTCCATCCGCAGGTCATCCAGGTCCTCTGAAGGGAAAAGGAGCAGCACATTAATCATCCTCTAGTCCCTTTCTTGTCAATATAACTTTCTGTATTTTTCAGACAGCTCTCATCACCACAAGACTGTTTCTGGGAGTCGGCCAGAGCGCCACATCATGACAGAGCAGAAACAGGAGAGGGTAACAAGCAGGTGAGAAAATATAAACAAAAATATGACGACCGGAGACGGCTGAAACGGGTTTGGGTTGACAGTTGCACATGGAATTTTTCTTTTTTTAACAGTTTACATTTTATGTATGTCTGCATTTCCTCAGTTTTCTAAAATACCTGCTTTATCTCAAAGTAGTGCAGCTGTTCTCTATTAGCTCAGATGCCGTCCGTCCACGTCTGATGATTGAAAGTTTGACAATTGAACGTGATTCAAGGCTAAAGAGGATCAGATGTCCCATCAGGATTGTAGATTCTTCGCATCAATACATCATCCAGCACACACGTTCACATTTGATTTGCCACAGATTCTATATTGTTAATACAAAATCAATGTTCTCTGCTGGATTCCTCTCACACAGAGTGATTTTTAAGCTCATCGCTTTATTTTTAGGCATAAATGACCTTTTAAAGAGGCCACAGTGGAAGGGAGTGTGCTGTTAAACCAGTCTAGGGTCATCTTCAGGACAGACTCACCTTACGTGTACCGCCGTGCATGTCTGGCTTTCAGTATGACACGTTATTCAAAACCAACATTGATATTTTCCCTTCGCACTCAGATTACGTAGCCCCTGGTATGGAGAAGGGAGGGGGAAGAAAAGGGTCTCACACCTTGCAAGAGGAGAATGCATGACAAATCACCTGGCTTAGATTAGATGACACTTGCTCATGAGAAATTCCCTCCCATCCATCCATCACCGTGGCACGGATCTTTAAAAAAAATACCTCTCGTCTATCGTCTCCGTCAGATGATAGAAAATCATTCTGACCAGATACCTAAATGCTAGAAAGCCACACATTAAATCACAAAATCCCAGATAAAGGGTGTTTTATTTTTAAAGAGCACTATATTTATTTATATTACAGTGCAAGAAGAATTTAAATAAGCTGCACAACAAACACATTTTTAGTACACGTGTAATAATTAAAGCCGCTTTAGCGATTTTACAGTGCAAGCTAGGTTTTGAATGCAAACACTCATCCCTCCTCACGGGTATGTTCCCTGAGACGCTTCTGCCGGAACGGGAAACCCGCATTGTTGGAGTAAACGAGATAGCGCTAAACACCAGTCGCTGCTTTCTAGGTCCGAACATCTTATGCTGTCCGGGACTTCAAATGGTGTTTTTCTTTTTTGGACTCTAGTAGTTTGTCCTAATGTTGAAGTGGTAGCAGCCGGCTGTTTCTCCTTCTCTGACATAATTGAGCCACGAGGCTCTCACACAAGTGATGTTCTGTTGCTAAATACGTTATGAATGGAAGACCCTGGGAAGTGCGGCAGTTCGAGGACACCAACAACCGGGTGGTCCAAAAGTTGCTCTCGGGTCCAAAACGTGTTATTGGTTAAGGTTTTTGGAAAAATGCGAGAGAACCACTATTTTTTATTTCCACAATATATTTATAGTTATTTTATGTTAGAATGTTGTTAAGAGGTAAGAAAAAATATGTTTTAAAGTGACAATGTGCATTTCCCCTGGCGATAGGGGGCAGTACATACCTAAATCAGTGCAAGCAAGCGGTATATTTTTGTGTTCAAGTAAGACCTTACCAACGGATGGCCATTAAGGTCAAAAATCCCTGGAAGTGCAACCTCCAGCAAAATTACAAGAAGATCAGACTCCCTTTGAACACTGGCAATGGGTGAAGAGGGTAAAAACTACACGTTGTCCCTTTAAGGTAATTTGTTTTCCAAATTTGCCATCGTGCCTTTAAATATCACATCAGACAGTCATGTCTTGTGCAAAACCTGACTCAAAAGCAATTGCAGGACATTTACATTTTTACTTTCAGATTACATAAAATCAAACCTGATTAAAACACGGACACTCCTGATTTCTCCTACATTTAGACTGTTAACAATAGTGTCCCTTTAGTAAACACCCCCTCCGAAGCCAGGCTGTTCCAGGAGGACAGATAAGCTACGTTTCAGTAATGCCCTTAAGCAGGGCAATATTAAATGTCCCATTCATCGTGGAATGCATGGGGGGGCAGAGAGAGCCACCAGCAATTTGGACCGTTTTCTGGTCGTGGGAACTGCTCAGTTCCTCGCCTTCCCTCCTATTCCGGTTTTCTCCGATCCATTCCAACTTCTCCTTCTTCTGGCCACTACCCTCTTCTGTTGGCGACTCGCTAATGTGGCATGCCGGATTTTCTCTGGGTCACAGCCTGAGACACAAATCATTACTCGACACTTTGAAACATTCACTTGTGAGGCTGCAGCTTTCATGAGATAGCCCAGAGGGGAAAAAAATAAAAACCACGAAGCAGGCCTGACCCCGACAATGAACACAACCTCAGTGTGGACAGCTGCTTGTCACCTCAACTCCTGCCTTGTCTTTTTGACTTGTTGCTTTCTACTCGGGGCAATACGACACACTGATGAGAGAAAGGCCTTAGTGACTAAAAGAATAAACTAAAGTCCCACAAAAAGGAATGAATGTAATTTAAAATATTCCAAGAAGAGTATTTGTAGATGGCATAAAAAAATCTGACAACTGAATAATACCAACTTCTCTGTAGGTTCTGGATTTAATCCGTTAAAGCCAACACTTGTTTATGTCTTTTAGATTTCATCTCCACCAGCGCAACATCTGGGTGCTTCTCCCTATGAAGCTGACATGATGAGCGTGCTTTCTGTGTGATGTCATCATTTCAAACGTGCATTGCCTTATCTTAAAATTCACGTAAAGCCACAATGTGCAATAAAAGTCAAAATACTCTGTTAAAGTTAAAAAACATGGTGAAACTGACATGTCCTTGATTTATTTTTTAATAGGATGCTAAAGGTTTTGTCAAAAAACCAAATGAGGTGACTTGAATGCTAAGTTTGCAGCAGGTTTCTGTGATGGAGTAGCTAATGCTAACGGTTAGCTTCTACTAACCGAGACAGTCTCCTGATTCCTGGACGCTAAAACAAAAACAGCCTTCCTCATCGCATTTCAAGAGGGTGAGTCCATGAACGTTAAATGACAGTGTGACGTAGCCTGGAGAGGTGAGGGGGGGTTTATGCAAATTTAACCATTTGTGACATCACAAACGAGGACTTTTTGAAATGATTTATTTCAGGGACATAATTCCTAAACCACACACTGATAGAAAACAGGTGGATATTTTATTTTTCATGTTTGGAGTATTTATAAAGGCATCAGAGACCCACATGGCAGCAAGGTGAGTTTTTCATAACATGTCCCCTTTAAATTTCATTGAAATCGCTGATCGCTGAATCTGACTCTGAAATCCACTCGTACAGTAGCGGTTTTAGGCACGGGCAGACAGGGCAGTTGCCCGGGGCGGCATTTTTTCATGACACAAAAGGGGCGCACAAGCGCTGAGTAAAAAAAAAAAAAAAAAAGGAAATCTGCGCCGCACCGAGGTTTTCTATTATCTGTCATATGACAGTGTCTGGATTGGAAACTGCAAGTTGGCGCCCCCTGCAGCTGCAGGCGCTCCTGCTGACTGAGAACGTTCACGTGCACCGTGTGTCTATGAAGAACAGGAAGGGGAGGGGTGCGGCGGGGGAATTCACCTCTGCGTCTTTCCCAAATGAAATGAGCGTGCAGGGGCTGAATCAACTGTATTAACGTGGCTAAAGTCAATCACATCTTAACGTTCTTCCATATTTCATTCATAATATCATAAACACAGGCCTATCATTCTTTCAGGTTTCTCTGAATTGTGTGAAATGGCAGAATAAAAAAAGGAAAAACAAAACGATTTTGTGGTCACCCCCCCCCCCCCCCCCCCCCATCAAGGTCAAATAGTTTAGTCCTGACTAAAGGAAACTTATTGAGTTAAGAGCCAAACAGAAGATATGAACATAAAAAGGCTAAAACCACCAGGTGCCCCATTCAGGAGGAAAAAGGAGAAAAGAGGAGAAAGATAAAGGTATGTAGCTCTCATGATGCATGTTTTCAATTTTTTGAACCAGTTAACTGGGATTTTAACGGTTAAATGTGGTCAACTAATTGCTAACAGAGCTAATAGGGCTGAAATATTGAAACGAATATTCAAATGGTTCGAAAAAAGTCCTTGAATCGTTTTTTACTGATTCAAGATTTGTTAAATGCTCACTGCAGCCTGTGGCCTGCCTGAACAACAACAAACACATGTTGATCATGTTCACATAATAATAAATAAAACAACTCTACAAGCAGAAGAAAACTCCCCAGTCACCACTAACTATCCTGTTTATTTATTGCAGATGGCTGCACTGATTATTTTTACATGATTTGTTCTGTAAAAGTTGGCATTTTTGGTAGTCTACAGTTTTTTATGTCAGTTTAAATTACAATTTCAGAGGCAATTCTAAAATATTATGGATCATGAGATCTATTGGAGATCTACCCCAACTTTTGGACTGCTCTGCCAGTCACTGTGGCTCAAGCTGAGAGAAGCTTTTCAAAACCTGATCAAGTCATACCTGAGGTCACCTATGTTTCAGGGGCGGCTCACTAACCTGGCTCTGATAAGTATCAATCACTCAGTAGGGGAGCAGATTTCATATGATGACATTATTGATGACGTTGCATCAAGGTTAGGTTTTAATTTTAGTTTGTGTTTTCTATTCTAAGTGCAATGCTGTAGTGATTATCTTTAGTTTGTTATGTGTGAAATATTTTTGATATTTAGAATATTTATTATCTATTATTATCTATTATGTTCATATATTCTTAATATTTAGTTATTGTTTGTTTTTGTATATTAGATTCTATATATTTTGATACAGTATATAATGTATAGTGCTTTACAGTCTGACAACTTCATAGTAATTAATGTAAATATGTGCAACTTAGAAAAATGAATTTTCAATAGTCGTTCTAATA